GGAAGCCACACACCCTACGGTGCCTATTCTGCCAATCAGGGCCAGCGCCAGACACCGCTGCCATCCACCTGATTCTTCAGTTAGGCTATCGAGTCCCCAGATCAACTGTGCCGGGGGCCCTGCATGGGCCACAGGCCTGACACGCTTGGGAGGCTAGGCCTGCAGGGGTAGCAGGCCCATTGGCCCCAGCCCTCTCCTTCATAGAGAACCCAAGGCCCAAAATGCAGGCTTCCCGGTCCTGGATGGGCACTCCCTACCCGGCCTCAGATCACCCGACTCACCTATAATCTTTCTATTCTGCTCCAAGGCCACCTGCCCTAGGCCGTGACCCCAGCTAACAAGTATATCCAAGGAAGGGGAAAAGTCCAGGGCAGAGCCTGCTGGGACAGTGCCAGGCGGGTGGTACACAGCTGGCGATGGCTGCCCACACCCTCCACGGACAGCCGAAGGTGGCATGGACTCACTGCCCTCCCTGGGCGCCTGCCAGCTCTGAGCGGGCTGCCCAGCCACCCCCGAGCTTGCTCACACGACAGGCTTTGGGAGCAGGGCAGCGGGTGGGCCAGGGCTGCCCCTGCCACTGGCGTGGGTCATTCGCTTTGCCCTGGGTGGGGCCCGGTCCATGCCTGACCAGGGCCTGGGGCTGCAGCTTCGGCTTCCACATTCCGGCTGCCGGAAAAACAGCTCCACCATAACTCGTGTCTGCTAACTGCGAGGAGGTCAAAGTCCTTGCCGGACTTCCAAGACCCAGAGCGGCAGGTGCCTCCACAGGTGGAGCGCACAGGGTGGTGGCTTCGGTGGCTTGCCTGAAGTCACGGAGTCAGGCAGCGGAAAAGGCGGGGGGGGGGGGGGGACGGGACAGGAGTCCAGCTCGCATTTTCCTTTTGGTGAAGATACTGGGGCTGCAGCTACAGCACGGGCCAGTTCCCCTCCCTGCCCCTTCCTCCCCCTTTAGGGGCAGGACCGAGTGAGTGGTGGGGAGAGGCCCGAGCTCAAGCTTTAAATGCTAAGCCACCTTGGGCCAGTGGCTTCACATCTGAGCCCCAGTGCCCCCACCATGCCTTACAACCAGGACAGCTACGCGTGCTGGGAAAAGCCTCCCATCTCAAAGCATGGGCTGTCTGCATCGCAGGGAGCCGGCGGGGGCTACAGAGGCTGCAACACTCCACATGCTGGCCCTGGGAAGCCAGTGCTCAGACAGCCTCAACAGGGACCCTAAGCACAGGTAGCCCCCGGAAGGGCCCAAGACCAACCAAGGCTCCCTGCTGAGGACAGAGCACCCAAAAGGGGCCCCAGCCTGCCCAGGGCCAGACAGCAGCATTAGTGGCACTAGCATTCAAACTTAAGGCATGGGGCTACACTGCACTGCTGCCTTCCTTCTGCGTAAGACCTAACTCTCACAAGGCAGGACGCTAACCCAGGTAATTCTAAGCAGCCCCCGTGTGCTCCAGCCAGCTGGCACACAAGCTCACCTGAGCTCGACTCCAGGCTCCTGGGCCGCTGGCTGCCGGCTGCTGCCCGAGATGAAGCTTTGAATCAAAAGGAAGCCCAAAACATGACTTATAAATTTATACTCCCCATCACCTATTAACACCTTTCGGGGTCCTGTGAGCCAAGAAACAAGGAGCACGACAGGGCATGAAGCAAAAAGGCGTTTGATTTTACTTGAGCCTGCTGGTGGGAGAATCCACAGGCCCACAGGCCTGGACTCCCTGGCCACCCTAAGCCAGGTGTAGGGAACCTTTCCTCTGGTTAGGGTCATTTGGATTTTTATGACATCATTCACAGGCCATAAAACATCAGCTCAGAAATTCGCCTGCCATAGGTTTATTGAATCTCAAGTTCTGCCTGCAGGTGCCCGGGCAGGGCCAGATCAGATGATTTTGCAGGCACTAACAATGAGAGTGGCAGGCAGCAGCAAAGCTGGGGGCAGGGGACCACAAATGGGCTCAATCTGGGGGAGACCAGGAGAGGGAGAACAGAATCCCACCAGTGCAAGTGGCCTGCTGTTTCGTGCACCAGGGTTTATAGCCAACGGCTCACTGCCTATGGACCTGGCCACACAGTGGAGTGGTGGAGGGAAAGACCCGAGTTCCCTCCCTGGACAAAGCTGTGTCTGACTTATCACCCAGACCTCTCACTGCCTGGGCCCATCTGAGGCAGTCGCTCAGCCTCTCTGGTTCTCTTGGGCTCCTTGCTCGTGAGAGTCACATTTGCCGAGTGCCTGCCCGTGCCAAGGCCTGGGCTGCCAGTGAGGCTGTAGGTTCAGAACTTTGAGATGCAGACATTCAGAAAGCTCCCATGGCCACAGCAGGGCCAGGAGCCAGGAACTCAACCCAGGTCTCTCCTGGGGTGGTGGAAACCCAACTGCCTGAGCCGACACCTGCTGCCTTCCCAGACGCTCATTAGCAGGAAGCTGGGCTCAGGAGCAGAGCTGAGCCTGAACCCAGAGACATCTTAACCGCCAAGTCAAAGGTCCACCACTGGAGCCTGTACCTTAGTGCCACGAGGGCCTATGGAATTCCTTAAATAGCAAGCAAGGACTCTAGGGAAAGTATAACTGAAAATCCACATGCCAGGAGCACATGAAGCCGCAGCAGATGGAACCTCACTGGCTAGCAGAGTTCCCTAAAGGGAGGCATATCAGAAAGACACAGGGAACCCAGGAGGGCCGGCCCCAGCCTGACTCCAGCGGTTTGTGCTCTAAACCACACTTGGTCTGGGCAGGTGAGTGAGTGATCCTAAAACCAGGGACAACGTTCTTGAAAGCATCACAGTGCAGGAAGCAAGGCCACGTTCATTGGCACTCCACAGCCAATACAGTCTCAGAGGGTCCTTCTTAAAGCAGCTGTACCTTATTTTCCCCTTCTCTACGTCACATTGGATGTGTCTGTGGGTAGCTGTAATCTTAAAACATAAATGCCTATCGAACTGTCCGTGATGGATTATTTAGAAATAGAGGAATGCAACTCTTCCCCTCTCATCTCGGTGCGTGTGCTGGGGTGGGAGTGATGGGTTAAAGCCCCTACAGGGTCCCGTTTATGGGATGAGAGAGTAAGTTCCGGCTTGGCTCGGGAATGCTCCATATGCAGGGACATGGGTGTGCTGGACAAAGAGGACAAGGCCTCCCAAGTCACAGCTTTCAGCACAGGGACACATCTGTCTGCCGGGAGGATACAGGGCAGCCCCGCGCAAGGGCTTGGAACGACGCGTATGTTTATCCTAACTCCCGTGATGACCCGCTAGGCTGCCAGGCTTCCGATCAAACTCTGGAGTGGTTAGGAGCTGCCTTAGAAACTGCCAAGTGTGTGCCGCTCACCCCGAAGGGCGGGATCTCCCTGCCGAGGGCTGACCCGCCCATGCAGTCTTACAAGCCCTGACAAGGCATGTCAGCATGGGACCGCCACAGGTGCCCTGTGAACTACTTCAGCTGCGCAGTCACAGGCTGCCTCCCTTATGCACTCTCCCCGCCCCAGCCCTGCCTGCCCACCCCTGGGTGCTGGAACTGCAACACTACATGCAGAGCCCTGTTAGGATTTCATGGACTAAGCAAACTTCTGCACCAGCTGAGCTCACTCTTCGGGGAGGAAGTTGAGTTTACTCAGACCTGAGCTATCCGCTGAGCATTCCAGGACACAGGCTGCACCTGAGACTGGCCCCACCCATTTCCACACCTGCAGAACGCGCCTCTCCCGCCATGGGGAAACTGAGGCCGCAGGAGGTGCAAACCACTGAAACAAGGTGGAGTCTGAACGGTGACTAACTTCTCAGCAGGCCTCAGACACTCCCAGGGAGCCCAGCTGTCCCTACGGGCTGCCCCCAGTCCCCCAGCCCTGGGAATGCAGCCAGCAAGCTCCAGCTGCTTCCTAACATTCCATGCTTTCGCTGAGACACCTAACACCTTCCGATAACAAACCAGCAAGCACAACCAGCTTTCAACCGATTCAACCAAATTCCTCTTGGGCCGCAATCAATCAATCAATCAATCAATTCTCAAGGTCCGATTTCCTCCCTGTCTGCCATCCACCCTGGGCCTGGGCCTGGGTCAAGGGTTTAGAAGGAAGGCTTTCCACTTCTCAGAAAGGCAAAGAGCAAAAGCCAAACTCCCCGGGGCCGGGCAGGCGGGAGCGACTCAGGCGCGTCCGCTGCAAGTTTGGGCTCACACGCGCGGCGCTCGGCCACTGGGCCACCGGCCCCACCCACTGCCCCGCTCCGCGCCGGGCCGCGTGGGGAGCGCGAGCCGGGTCTCAGGAAGTTTCGTGAGCTCCTCCTTGTCCTGGGAGGTTTGGGGGCCGCATCTTCGTGAGCTCCTGCCCTAAGGGTGCCAGGCGTGGACACGCACGTGTGACCACGCACTCCCTGGAGGTTCCCCTCCCCCTTCTTTCCCGTGTCCTAGTGGCTTGGGATTGGGGCCAGGAGCTCAGGGCCCAGCCGGGCGTGGAAAGGTGGGCGCGACCCTAGTCCCACAGTCCAGGGGAGGCAGGGAGGCTGGAAGCGCGTCGCGTCCGGGACACTCACCGGGACCTCTGCAGCTGCTCCAAAGCGCTGGTGCTGCTGCCCTGGCCGGGCTGCTCCAGGGAGCAATAGGTTTGTGAGGTCTGCCTGGAGAAGGCCATGGGCAGGATTCCCTGAGTGAACGAGTTGAGGCGACCCCGACTGCCGCTCGCACTTCCGGGGGTCCCGGCGCCCAAAAAGGCTGCCGCAGGCACCTGCACGCCGGTAAAGGCATCGTCCTCCTCCAGCTCCTCCTGCCCGGGGTCCCCGGGCCCGTCGGGAGGCTGCGGCGAAGCACAGGCGGTGAGAGGCGCGGGCCGCGGCAGCTGCGACAGCTCCCCCGACGCGCGGCCCGCGCCCAGGGCGCTCGCGAGTCCCCGCGCCGCGCCAGGGCCGGGCACGGTGGCGTGGCCGCCCGTGGCCAGGGGCGGCAGCAGCGAAGGCTGCAGGGAGCAGGGGCCAGCGGCAGTGCCCGGCGCTGGGAGGGCGCCGCAGCCGCCTCGCTCGGCCGCCGCCACCAGCAGGCTGAGCCGAGTCCTCGCGCCGCAGGCGCTGCCGGCGCCCGGCTTGGCCGCGCCGCCCTCGTCGCCGCCGCGCCACCCCTCGTCCTGCAGCGGCGGCCGTCCGTCCAGAGAGATGTTGGTGAGGAAGGAGAGCGCAGCCTGGCGCCGCCGCGGGTCCACGCGCGGCTTCCGGGGGGGCTCGGGCGGCGGCGGCTCTGCGGCCGCGGGCTGGGGCTGAGGCTGCGGCTGCAGCTGCGGCTGCAATCCGCCGCCGGAGCCCGCGGCGTCGGTGCCGGCGCTGCCGCTGCCGCTGCAAGCGGCCGTGCTGGCGGCCGCCGCCGCCATTGTGTCCGTCTGCGGTGGTATTTCCGCGAGGCCGGCCGCGAGAAGCGAGCGGCGCTCAGTGCTAAGCGGCGGGCGCGAGCGGCGGCGACCCGGGCTGGGCAGGGCGCGGGGCGCGGGCGGCGTGCACGGCGGCCCGGCCCCCCCGCGGGCGGGCCATGCTGGCCCCGGTGCTCGGGCAGGGGGCGCCGCGGCCCGCTCCACGCGCGCCTCGCTGGCCGCCCGCCTGCTCGCCGCTCCCCCGGCCGGTGGGTCGCGGGGTCCGCGGCCCGGTGTCCGTATTTATAGGTGCGTGCGCCCAGCGCCCGTGCTCCGAAGCGCTCGTTGCAATAACACCGGATCACGTGTGGGGAAAGAAACCTGGGAAGAAAACAAAGCCGCAGGCGGAGGCAGGCGCGGGAGGCGACGGGGCTGGAGAAGAGGAAGAGGAGGAGAAGGCGAGCTGAGCGCGTGGCGGGGCGGGGACCTGTCGGCCTGTCCCGACCGGCCGAGCTGCTGCTGCTTCTGCGAGAGTTGCAGGCGCCCGGGGCCGGCGGGAGTCGGGTGCTGGAGGCGAGCACGTGTGCTCCGCACGCTGGCCCTGGGACCTGGGGGTGCGCGCCGAATCCTCGCTGTCAGGGCGTGGGGGTGTGCGCCTGGGGCAGTCGTGGGCCCAGTCGTGCGTTGAGATTTGGACCTCGAGCGAGTAACCTGGACCCCGCGTTGCTGGGGGTGGGAGGTGGGAGGTGGGGCCGGGGCGGACAAATAGGTCCTTACTCCTGGTTGCTCGGATGGGTCCGCAGCTCCTGCGTGGACGGCCCCTCCTCCAAGCTGTCGCTGCCCTAAGCTTGCATTTCATTCATTCGCACTCCTTGGGGCTGCGTGGGAGACCCCACGCGTGAACACCACGCGGCTGAAGCGGTTGACACAATCCTCTCGTGTGGTGCTGTCACTCTTCCTCTCCCTCTCAGCAACAGCCAAGGTCAGTTTTACCTCTACTCCCGCGGAGACCCCGCGAGGTTAATACAGCCTCACGCCCTTTCTGCTTTATCACCTGCACAATTTTGTGGCATACCAACGCCTTTTCTCCCGGACCAACACAGACAGTGACGATGCCATTTTTTTCATAAACAATCTTTCTATAAAAAACCCTAACAGGGTTGCCTGCAGCTCGAATCTGTGTGGGGAGAGTCGCAGCCCCACCCCAAGAAGCAGGGGGCTAGGGTGGGGGTGGGGAGGGCTCCCCCGGGAGCAGGCTGAGCACCCCTGGTGTTTCCCTAGTGGCCTAAATAACTTACCCAATGCAGTAAGAAACTTGTCACACTGAATTAAGCCCTGTGATGCCAAAGAAACCTTGCTACACTTTTCCTGGGGAGAAGCAATGCAACCTTGCTACACTTTTCGGAGGGAGAAAACAAGTTCATTTAATTAAAGGTTTAAATTTAGCCCTGGAGCAAACGAGTGACTGCGTTGAAATTCCACTCCCTTTCAAGAGCAGGAAAGTAAACTGAGAAACGGAGGGCGGGCGGAGGGCGAAGGCACCGGGGCTGGAGATGTGGCTCCAGCCTGGAGCGCGAGGTACCTGCGTTTCAGGTTACAGCCGCTCAGGACACACTGGGCAGGCGGCCCTTTGCGTGGACAATTGTTCGTGCTTTATTTTGTGCCATTTTTAGGCCTTTTGAAAAAGTGGAGCCTGATGGCTCTTTACAACAGCCTCACAGCAGCTAAGTCGGAGCTTAATAACTAGCTCTGGGGAACGTCATCAGGGTAGTAATTACTTTCTTTAACAAACTACCTGGAAACCTGTAGGCTGCTTTCTTACCATGGACATAATTTTCATGACTGCTGGCCTGGTGGTGCTGGCTGATTGTGTGAAAGGAAAGACTCCAACTCTGACTCTGGTGAAAGAAAAAAACTATTTAATTACAAAAATGTAAATGTGAATTACAGAACATGAAATAAGCAGAGGAGCCAAAAAGAGAAGAAAAAAAAAGCAACACTAACAATCTCATCTCCCAGGGAAATAACTTAAAATGTTGCTTTCTGTCTTGTGTATATTTTTAAACAAAAGCTAAATGGGGCTGTTGGTATCCTGTGATTTTTGCCTGCTGAGTTGTGATCATCTTCCATTTGGAACGTTCTGTAGCATCATTTAATGACATCCTAGTGTTCAATTGGATGGGGAGTCTAAGCTATTAAACCTGTGCATTTAATAAGCTTGTCTCCATTTTGTTGTTATAAAGATGGCAATGCCTATGGCCTTTATTTTTCTAAGTCTTGCTACCATTCAATAGTGTTTTCCTTGGTTAAAACAGTTGCTGGGGCAAATGTCATCTCGGGTTTCCAAGGCTCCCCATCCCAAGAGGCGATTCCAATCTGCTTCCCCCTGCTCTGGCTGGCTAGTACAATTTCTTTCACCAACATCCGTTTCTTTGCCCATTCGATATAACTTTGCAAGCATCCTACAGGAATCAATGTCTGTTGAGCCTCAGCTGCTTCCATGATCCCCTGGTGAGACTCTTGAAAGATAGGATTTATTGTTCACCTACTGGGTGCCAGCCACAGTGATCACGCTGTGTTGGTGACAGTGGGGGCATTATTTGATTTTTCATCACTTAACCAGGCAAGGCGGGGCACCCATGCATGCTCTTGCGCCCTCTGCTGGTGAGCCTGTTTTATGGGCGAGGGCAGGCTTTAGTCTGTATTTGAGAGTCAGCTCTAAAGGAAGTATTACAGGCTTTGGGGTAAGAGGATCTGGGCTTCGAGAGCAAGTCCCGTAGGCTCCCACAGCCCAGTTTCCTTTGTGGGTTGTGAGGCAGAAGTGAGGGCTGCACAAGGATCATCTTATACACCATACAGTACTTTAAAAAATGTTAGTTGGGGCAGGCATTTACCTGTGTCCCATATGGGAGAGCCTGGGTTGGATTCCTGGCCACAGCTCCAGACTCTTAACTGCTAATGTGGACCCTGGGCGACACTTCAAGTAACTTGACTTCTGCCATCCACGTGGGAGCTCTGGATTGAGTTCCCAGCTCCTGGTCCAGCTCCAGCCATTGCATGCATCTGGGGACTGAACCAGCAGATGGAAGCACTCTCTCTCTCTCCTCTCTCTCTCCCTCCCTCCTTCCCTCTCCCCTCCTCTCTCCCTCACCCTCTCCCTCTCCCTCTCTCTACCCTATCTATCTCAGTCTCCTCTGAAATAATAAATACATATTTTAAGTGTCAGTTGTTATTTAGCCATTGCGATCCACTTAGTCCTTGAATCATTCCAAGTTCATTTATTTTTTAGCCATTTTTATCCATTGACCAAGTATTATTGAGCAACTTCTATGTGAGCAGTGACATATTGTGACAAAGGGATAAAAAGTGTGGCCTTTAGCCATTGTGCCCTTGACAGCTGAGGTGGAAGAGAACAAAAACTCAGGGAAGCATCTATGTGAAGATGCAAAGCAGATTGGTTTCGTGTGGACAAAGCAGTGTGTCAGCAGGTGTGCCAGAGAGCTTGCTGTGGGAGGGGGTATTAGGCAGCAGCCAGGATCCGAGCAGGCCTGGGAGATCAAGCAGCTGAGGAACAGGACCCTTCAAGGGAAGTTTTGCCTACACATTGCTGTTGTGTGGCAGGCAGAGAGGACTAGAACTTGCGATGAAATTCATGGGGCCAGCGGGTGGAAGATTTCTTTCTCTTTCACTCTACCTTTCAGATAAATTTTAAAAGAGAAAAAAAAAACAGTCATCTCAAAATTGGGAAAAAACAATAATGGAAGTTTGAAATGAGGCTTTAAACTCAGATAAACCAGGACTCTAACACCAGCTTAGGCTCTTAGGAGTGTGCAACCTCCTGAAGTCTCCAGCTTGGGCAAGTTATGAGCTTTTTGCCTCAATAGCCTCCTCTGTAAAGGTAGATTTAGCAATATTTTACCTCGCCGAGTCTCGAGGGTCACCTATAATACAAGGTATGTCACTAGCAGCATATATGGCATTCATCGGGTGACTGTTAGAAAAATACAAAGTACAGAAGACACACCTACAAAAGGCCAGGGTGTTTTAAGCTCCAGGGTTTTGTAGTTTTCACCGGTCCTGCCTGGGAGACGGGACTGCCAGAAATGTCAGCTGTCGGCTCCAGGTCACATCAGAGTAGCTTCCCACGTGTTCCCGCGACGTGCAGGCTGCCGCCTGCTGAGGGAACGCACACCGGACCACAGGCTCAGCGCCCCAGAGCACCTGCTGCTTTCCTGAATTCAGAGTGAGAGCTGCTGAGACCAGGACGGGGGCACTCCAAGGGGTGGCCCTCCGTGCCCTGACACATCCCCTGGAACTCCACCTCCCCATGGGGATTTCAGATCACTTCTGCTGCTCTGGGAGAGCACGGCTGGCGGGGGGATGTCGTCATTTCCCTTCCACAGTTTGGCGTGGATACCTCAGTGTCCCCAGAACATGTGAAATCAGATATGCTGTTCAAGACTTCACTAGAAGTTCAGGAATATTGGGTGAAAGAAACCCAGTGAGTCACTGGCAGCCCTGTTGAGCAGCTCAGCGAATGTGACCGCCCCATCAGCCTCGTGTCCGTGCTTCATAAATGCCAACCCCGTGCCGGATGAGGGTTAGGCTCTGCAGGTACCAAAGGAGCACACCATGTGAGCCTGTCCTGGAGCCCTGGAGCTGACGGAGGTGGGAGACACGTTAGCACTTGTATTTTCAGCATCATAGCATAAGTGTGTTTCTAAAACAGCTGTGTGCACAGGGCACAGCTGCCCCCTGCATGCTTTCCCGAGTAGAAGCTACTGTGACCCCTGACCCAGAGCAGCCCCTCCAGGACAC